TATATATATATTTTGAGGGGGGGGGGCATGACATTTTATTTAATTTTTTATGACTTCTTGACTTCGTCACTTACTGTCACTTTTGATCAATTTAATGCATCCTTTAAATAAATATCTCAATAAATCTAACTCTAAGCTTTTGAGCGGTAGTGTATATAAACCATGCAAAAGAACCAGTTTGAAATGAATTGATAAATGGCTTATATTTATGTACTGCTTTTGCTAAATGAAGTAAAAATAAACCACTTTAAATTAAAATGAATAATTTTTAATGCTCCAAGTTAACCATCACAAAGCTGTAATGTACAACATGAAAAATGGATGCATGCTAATGAGTACATTTAAGTTATTATTAGTGTTTTAGTGAGCATTAGATGACTCAATGTTAATCTAAATGTAAAAGTAGGTCACATTTGCATGCTCCATTAAATACACAAAATAATCATCCGATAACCGATATAGTAACAAGATATTGTGCATTTCTAATTGTCCTAGCTAGTAGGAGCAATAAAATGACAACAAACAACATACAGCTATATAGCTTTTTCTTTGGAATATAGCTTGTTGCTAGAAAAGCACACATTCAAGCATTTGTTATGCCACACGTTTGTGAGGGTATGAAAATTAAAAACCTTGACGGACAGCTTTGTAATTTGATACAATAGTACAGGTTTCATTGCCGCTCACTTTCTGCCCTGCTCTCACTCAGGTCCAGGAGGACATAGAGGACCTGTTAGTTTCCCCTGGTGACTTCATCGCCCTGCAGCACGACGCCGGACCGTCAGGCCTCCTCCAGTGCTCCTCTGACCCCTCGTCGCCATGGAAACAGAGCGTGCTCATCCAGAACCGCTCCGATTGGTGGGATGCAAACGAGACGCTGCAGGCGGATGCGGAGGGCGGCTGGGAGGAGGGTGTGGTTTGCCAGGTGAGGGTGCTGTATGTGGGGCAGAACAGCACTGTGCTGCAGGGTCCCTTCCTCCGCTCTGGCCTATCTCAGCTTGGTGACTACAGTTTGGAAGTGACATCCAGCGATGAGGATTTTCCCGTCACTGCATCCTGTCCCATCCACGTCATTCCACCTCTGGGCCCAGCCGTGATCTATCCCACCAATCACAACGGGACGGTGTACTTCCTGCCCAATCAGACGTGGATTCTCGTCACAGTCCGCTCGCAGCACGATGCTCTGATTGGCCAGCAAGGCAGCAATGAGACCGTTCCCTTTCACAACGCCTGTCCCGAGAACCTGGTGGCGAAAGTGGCCGAATGCAGGCAGCACGGCCCGTACAACGACACCATGTTTGCGTGGTTTGACCTCCAGCTCGGGTCCACACCAGAACAGACCACGGTGCTGTTTCTTGTCCAGAGCAACGTTACCAAAGCATCTCTACAAATTCAGGCAAGGGTGCAAGAACCTCTCCGGGGGCTCTTAATCAAACCCCATCCTGCTCACAGAGTCCTCATGGAGTCCGTAGTGGTGAGTAAAAACAATTAAACCTGGTAGTTTGCTGGTTTTGGGCTGGTTTTAAATGGTTTCTCAGCCTGACGTGTGCCCAAAACCCATCTAAAACCATCAAAACGGACCACATTAGGCTGGTTTAAACCATTGTTTTAACTTTCTAAACAACTACAAAGGATTGTGTATTTATTGCTAATATTTTAAAAACCATTTAAACCAAGAGGTTTGCTTTTAAATTGGTTTAAATTGGTTTCATAGTCTGACAAGTGCTCATCTAAAACCACCAAAATCCACCACATTAGGCTGGTTTAAACCATTTTTCCAGCGTGACTTTACCTTCTAAATATCTACTATCTAAGGCTAGTGTATTTATTGTTATTACCAGGTGGTTCATTGTTTTTTTTGTTGTTGTTTTTTGTGCTGGTTTAAACTGGTTTCCCAACTTGACAAGTCCCCAAAACCCATCTACATCCGTTTAAACAGACCACATTGCACTGATTTAAACTGGTCTCCCAACCTGACAAGTGCCCAAAACCTTTCTAAAACCATCAAAACAAACCACATTAGGCTGGTTTAAACCATTGTTTCAACCTTCTAAACAACTACTATCCAATGATTATGTATTTATTGCTAATATTGTATATACCATTTAAACCAAGAGGTTTACTTTTAAGCTGGTTTCATAGTCTGACAAGTGCCCAAAACCTGTCTAAAACCCATCTAAACAAACCAGATAACCACCTTAGGCTCTTTTAAACCATTTTCCAGCATGTATTTACCTGATAAACATCTATTGTCCAAAGATAGTGTATTTGTTGTAAATACCAGGTGGTTCACTGGTCTTTGTACTGGTTTAAACCGGTTTCCTAACTCAACAAGTGCCCAAAACCCATCTAAAACCATCAAAGCAGACAAGCATAACCTCCTTAGGCTGGTTTAATCCATTTTTAGCATGAATTTACCTTATAAACATCCTGGTTTAAAACTTTTAACAGCAGCTTTAATAACTACACTCTAAAAAATGCTGTGTTGTTTCAAACCAACTTTGGGTCAAATATGGACTAACCCAGCTCTTGGGTTAAATTTTTTAATTACATTTTTAACCCAAAAGTTGGGTTAGTCCATATTTGACCCAAAGTTGGTTTGAAACAACACAGCATTTTTTAGAGTGTAGTTATTAAAACTGCTTTTTTTAGCTGACTTGCTGATTTAAACTGTTTTTTTTTTTTGGCCTAAAAAATTCTAAAACCTTCAAACCAGACCAGAAAACCACCTTAGGCTGGTTTAAACCTTTTTTCTTTCCAGCACGACTTTACCATCTACTGTCCAAGGATAGAGTATTTGTGCAAATATTCAGGTTTTTGTGCTGGTTATCCAGCCTGATAAACGCCCAAAACCTGTCTAAAACCATCAAAACAGATCAGATAATCACCATTTAACCATTTCGTCACCATGATAGTGTATATATTGCCCATATTTTAAAAACCTGCTGGTTTGATGTTGTTTTTTGCTGGTTTAAACTGGTTTCCCAGCCTGAAATCATCAAAGCAGATCAGCCTAACCACCTTAAGCTAGTTTAAGCCATTTTGTCAGCATGCCTTTACCTTTTAAACATCTACTGTCCAAGGAGAGTGTATTCATATTTTAAAATATTTTATGCTAATATTTTAAAAACTGCTTAAATCATGTGGTGCCCAAAACCTGTCTAAAACCATCAAAACAGATCAGATAATCACCATTTAACCATTTCCGTCACCATGATAGTGTATATATTGCCCATATTTTAAAAACCTGCTGGTTTGATGTTGTTTTTTGCTGGTTTAAACTGGTTTCCCAGCCTGAAATCATCAAAGCAGATCAGCCTAACCCCCTTAAGCTAGTTTAAGCCATTTTGTCAGCATGCCTTTACCTTTTAAACATCTACTGTCCAAGGAGAGTGTATTCATATTTTAAAATATTTTATGCTAATATTTTAAAAACTGCTTAAATCATGTGGTTTGGTAGTTTTAGGCTAGTTAAAACTGGTTTCTAAACAGCCACTGTTCAAGGATAGAGTATTTATTGCTGATATTTTATGTTGATTAAGATGTCTGTGAGACAGAAGCTGAAGGTTTCACGCTGTTCGTTATCCACCATGTCACCTTTGTTATGGCCCTGACCTTCATCTTTAATGGTCTTATTATTTGCTTACCTCTTCTTCTCTCTCTCGTATTTCAGAGTTACATAGCCTCTGTGGAGGGAGGTACGGACCCGTCGTTCAAATGGACAGTGGATGATAAACCATACTTCACGTACTATAACAGCATGTTAAATATCATCTACCAGAACGCAGCAGTGTACAAACTCACGGTAACTGGTTTTCATTGAACTCAGACCAGTTTATGTAAAGGCCTTACTGATTCTATCAGCTTGGCAACTGACCCATCTCTCATTTCTTAGGTAATGGCTATGAACCAGGTTAGCATGCTGACAGAGCACTTCACTGTCACAGTAGACCACATGAACCCGATGACTGAGCCGACGGTCCACGGAGTCCCCAAAATCGTGCAGCAGGGTTTGCCCCTGAACCTCTCTGCGTCGGTGAAGATAGACATGGCGGTGGATGTCACCTTCTGGTATGTTCTATGACAGTGAAGCTCTGATTGGTCAAATTAAAGATTCAAGTGTAAAGATTCATCAGATTAATTCTAAACACTTTTGCCAGCAAGGTCATTATGAAGGATGATTTACACTTTTTTTTTAATTGCTTTCACACGCAATTGGTAAATTTTCAAAAAACTTTTAGTACTAATATCACAACAGATCGTCAAAAGTGCACTTTTTTTCAAACATTTCAGCATATTTTCAATTTTGTTAGTACAAAACACAATCACAAAATATCCTTTTCACTACACAAAGTAAGTGTTTAATCTATATAAATTAATCATTCACAGTACTGTCTTTCATAAAGCTATTACTATCAAACTTTTCATTAGCATGACTTCTCATTCAGTTTAATACATTTGTCTATTATTGAATCTAACTCATCTTAATGGTTAATCGGTGAATCATTTGGTGCATCTATAGATATAGAGTCAATAGATAGAACGTGATTGCAATTTAGGGATAACCAAATGCACCAAATTATTTTTACACTAAAAGTGATTTATCTAAGATGATAACCACTATTTTGTAAGGGTGTGTGTGTGTGGTTCAGGTAAACCCTATTTTATGGGGACAAAATATCCCCACAAAGATGGCAATATCCGAAATCATTGTCCATTTTTGGGTCCAATGAGAAAAAAAAGTAATTTTCGTAAGGGTAGGTTTAGGAATGTCACCATAATGATAGGAAAACCTGTGTGTGTGTGGTGGTTATGTGTGTGTGTGTGTGTGTGTGTGCCTACTTACTGTAACCATATTTTGGGGACAAGTTGGTACCCAGCATTTTACATTACATTATGCCATGTGATACTGTATACAGAAGCATTAATATGGTAAAGAGTGCACATTAACTCACCCTTCATCTGAAAAATTCAGCTAGAATATAGATTCAGTCATATGGCACATTGAGGACATTTACTGCATTGACAGTAAACTCTGTTCTTGCACAAAACCTTATGGCCATGACATACCTCCATCACACCTTTTGATAGCACACTGGATAAATACTTTTACAAACATTATTGATTTTATGTGAGACATGCAAGTTAGGTAATGTGTATTTTCTAACATGACAGTTATTGCCTGTATTACTGTAATTATTTCAGCAGCAAAGGTGATTTGAAACATGAATCTCGCATTGTTTGCTCTTGAATGAACTGATTGTTAAAAGTACTAGCTTGAAAGAAGATCATACTGTTGTGTTTTGGTGATTAATTCAAATGTTCTCAATACATATCACAATGATCTTGTGTTTTGAAACAATGATTATGTGGAATGAAAATATGCGCAACTACAATGAAATCATTGAGATCAGGTTTTGAAAGTATGACTAGTGGTGTTACAAGTGTGATCAGTTTAAAGTTTTGTACTTTAAGAGTTTTGAAAATGTACACCTTACTTGTGAAAATAGTACCAAACCGATTAAAAAACAGTAATATTAAAAAGGAGCCATTTAAATTAGAGTTGCACAATATTGCACAATTTTGTAATTTGTAATGTATTAACTGGGATACTTTTTTTCAGGATTCTTTGATGAATAGAAAGTTCAAATAACAATATTTATTTGAAATAGAAATCTTTTTGTAACATTATAAATGTCTTTTACTGTCACATTTGAACTTGCTGAATAAAAAATAAAAATAAAAACGTACGATATTACCTAAACTTTTAAACGCTAGTTTATTTCTAAATAAATTGTTTTCAGTGCAACAGATACATTTTGGAATATTTTTATTATGTTAATTTCATTGTAATTTTTTTTTTTAAATGAACGTTAGTTGACGGCAAATGTAAATTAATTTACATCATGATGTTTTGAGCATGCACAATTCCACTATCAGCTGACATATATGCCATAAAAAATCTCTAACATCAGCCAATAATAACGATATATCATATTTATTCCTAATTTAGATATAATACACTTTGTTATGCAGTCTTTTTAAAATGCAGTAATGGAATTAATGCATTAATTTAATGCCTGTGACTGATATTGTCATTAAAAATAGAGCAATAGTAGCAAATGATAGATTTCATAAAAAAGTCCTAGAATTGGGATGCATTGAGATGAAACACCCAATTACAATATAATCAGTTCCTGATGGGTAAAATCAAGCTCTTTCATTCATCATGGAAGTAAAATGGGTTGCGAATGCTCTCTTTAAATAACTCTCTTCTTGGAGGGTTATGTGGCACACAAACTTTTTCTCTACGGCTTCCACCGCCTCGCACACTCCCAGCCTGCTCCCCCTTTAATGGCACTTTTCTCTAGATTTACAGTCTGTGGTTAGCACAGAATGCTGACAAGAATTTTCCCTTCAACGCCGAGCATAGAACGATTCCCAAAGTTTCCATTCCATCCCCCAGAAGCCTGCTGCGCGCCACTGCAGATGTCTGCTTTATTTATTTAATTCATGGATTTCTCTATTTATTGTCCAAAAAAAGTCTGTCAGACGAGTTCTGTAGGGCGATTTCTTCCCTGCGCTTTTATCTCGTCTGCTCAGTATCTCCTGAGTTCAGCCTGCCGCTTGTTCAGTCAATCGTGATACCTGATTCTCCTTTGGGTTGCACTTCTATAGAGAAAGTGGGGATAAGATGGAGTGAGAGATGAAGGTGTATCGCTGGGAGCCGAGGTGATGATTCAACAGCAGCTCCACCTCTCCCTCCCGCAGCGATGAGTCAGACGGCGAGATTTGCAAGAAAGAGCTTTTATTCCCTCCAGCTAAAAACATCTTTAAAACAGACCTGCCACCTTGCTTTTACGAATTCCCGAGGCACCAAAAGAGACTCAAAGTTGTCTTTCCCCTCATCCTTTAATACCCTCTTTTATACTGCAATAAGCTTGTCTTTAAAGCCACCATGAAACCAGAGTTAACTTAATACATGTCCCTGGACTTACTGTGCACAGTGTATCATTCAAAAGGGGAAAAACAACCTGTAATGCAAAAAGGAAGTGACTTATCAAGTTATTTTTCAACTCCTCCCCAACCACTGTCCAGTACCTACTATTAAAATAAAGTACTCTCTTACATAAGGTTGCCATACATGTTAACTTTAAGACTGCCTAAAAATATTTTCGGTGAGGTCATGTTTTAACATTCCCAGTGACTTGTGCAATTAAAATCAAGACTCAGTACTTTCCAAGACTATTTAAAAGCATTGTCTACAGTGTGAAAAACTGTGAAACCAGTTGTAAAACGATGCATGTAATCAGGGGTGCAGTGAGTGTGAGTTTGTTTTGATGGTTTTTATGTGTCACAGGTGGTGGTTTGGAGATGGAGGGAACCGTACACATCAGATTAAGCCCCCTTACAATAACCCCTCTAGTAACCAGGTTGTGATTCGTGATGATGTGGAATACATTTATGCACAGCCAGGTAAAAAAAAATCATATTGATTTTATCCAGATTTTAATTTGTATTGATTATCTACATTGATTTTTTTTAAACTCATATTTCTTGCAGGGGAGTACACCCTATTGTTCACGGCTTCCAACCGCTATGAGAACAAGACATGCAAGGTCGATGTATACGTCTTTAGCATTCTGACAAGTGTGCGAAACGAGATTGACCCGCCCCTGCTACGTGCCGAAAAAACAGCTGACTTTGAGGCCCACCCCCTACCGTCTCCCTACGGCATCATCTACACCTGGAACTTTGGTGACAATTCAAGTGTACAGCAGGGGCGTGAACGTAGGGTTCCTCATGCGTACGCTCACAGCGGTGTCTACAATATCTGCGTGAATGTCAATAACACCATTAGCTGGACAGACACCTGCATGGAAGTTATCGTCTATGAGGATGTTAAGGGCTTGGAGGTGATGTCATCTGCTCCCACGGAATGCAACACTCCTACCGTTGTCTCGGCAAGTCTAGAAGCAGGCAACAATGTAACTTGGAGCTTTGACATGGGTGATGGAATGGTGCACACGGTTATGGAACCCAAAATTGAATATACGTACAGGAAAGATGGAAACTACACTGTAAATGTCACCGCAAAGAATGTTGTGAGCTCTCAATGGGTAACCATACCTGTTGAGGTGTTTGTGCTACAAGTGTTATCGCTAGAACCTCCCGGGTGCATTCGGGAAAACAATGAGGTACTCTTCCATGCATTTGTGTCAGGGAACGCTTCAGGACATCAGTACGTGTGGAGTTTTGGAGATGGAAGCCCCAACGAAACTCAGTATGGAACGCAGATGATAATGCACACATACATTAAGAATGGCGAGTACAATCTCTCGCTACTAATGTCAAGTGAAGCCAACAAGGCAAATTTTTTCAGAAGGGTCTGCGTCCAACCTGAACTCACAACAGTGTCTTTGTTTCCTCTGAGAACACACATCAAGTTCGGTGAGGAGAGCAGATTTACAGTAGCTGCCTTCCCAGAATTTAACTACACCTACCTATGGGGTTTTGGGGTACTTGACTTGAGAGGTCCTGTTCGAGGTGGTAAGGAGATGGCCTTTACATTCAAGAGTCCTGGGGAATATCTGGTTACGGTTACTGCACTCAACAACATCTCCTGTATCAACGACACTGTTTTAATTGTGGTGCAACAATCCGTCAGTTTTTTGCTGATCAGCCATAATGGAGATAAAGAAAACAATTTTTCTTTACACCAAGGCTATGCTTTCAAGGCATCTTCAGACTCTGAGAATGCTGTCTACATCTGGGATTTTGGAGATGGGACTCGACTTAATGGGGCAAACGTATCACACGCTTACAATTCCTCGGGCAGGTTTAACATCAGTGTTACAGGCAAGAATGAAGTGAGTGAGACCAAAAATGAGATTTCCGTTGTGGTCTTGGCCCCAATCACAGGACTGTCAGTAAATGCTAGCCTTGTTAATGTCCCTTTGAACACTTCCGTTCACTTTGAGGCACACCTCAACCAAGGAGATGGTGTAAGGTACTCTTGGATTCTTTGTGACCGGTGCACGTCTATCCAAGGCACTCACACCATGTTCTACACGTTTCGCTCCGTTGGGACTTTCAATATCATCGTTACTGCAGAGAATGACATTGGCACTGTTCAGTCAAGCATTTCCATCTTTGTGCAGCGTGAGTTGGAGGGCTTGCAGATAGTGGCTGATGAGCTTATTGAAGGATGCTGTTTTGCAAGCAACCGTGTCCTTCACTTACAAGCCTCATTAAAAGAGGGCACCAATATGACCTTCAGCTGGAACCTTCTGAGGGAACATGAAAACCATGACTACAACCTCACGGGCAAGACCATAGACCTCAACTTTTCCACCCCTGGTCCTTGTGATGTCGTCCTCAAGGCAACCAACTTGCTTGGCCAGCTGGCTGTGAACAAAACTATTGAGTTTTTGGATCCTGTAAGGGAGCTGGTCCTTAAGATTTCATCAAACCCTGCTGCAGTAAATGCCATGACAAATATGACAGTATCTGCAAGTTTTGGAACAGCGCTTCATTACAAATGGTGGGCAGATAGTGAACTGTTAACATCTGATATGTCCTCAGTCATGCACCGTTTCAGAAGCGCAGGTTTGAAACTGGTTAAAGTGGAGGTTTCCAACAAAGTCAGCTCGGAAGTGGTCTCAAAGTGGATCAGCATTCAAGAACCGATCTCGGGATTGACTTACATCGCCACAAATGTTACAGAGAACTTTGTAGCTTCAGGGGACAATGTTACTCTGCGTGGAGAAACACGGATGGGATCCAGCATTTCGTGGATGTGGCTATTGCCAGACAACACAAAATCGAACCAGCGCACCACCTCCTACATCTTCCCCAAACCAGGAATTTTCACTGTCGCTTTGAACGCCACTAATGACATGAACAGAGAAACATACTCACGTGAATTTAGCGTTCAAGACCGTATCCAGGGTCTGGAGCTCAAGGCCAGCAAACAAATTGCTGCGGTTGGTGAAAACGTTGAGTTTACCATCTCTGTCTCATCTGGAACTTCTGTTAATTTCATCCTGAGCATTAGTGGTGATGCAACTGTTGTTCTGACTAATCAAACCTACATCCACCAGTTCACTAGTGTGGCCAAGTACTACGTCAATCTTACTGCCTTCAACCAAGTGAGTTCAGAACGAAGGACTCTGCACATTGAAGTCATGGAGCCTGTGACCAAGTTGACTATACTGGACTGCTGTGATGCCGCTATACCTGTCGGTGTACCTAGGGCTTATGTAGCGTGCACGCCGACACGTGATCCGCTGACCATTCTATGGACCTTTGACCTTCATCATGGACTCAAGATCTCTCGGGTTGGCAAGTCGGTGACATATGTGCCAGAACAGCCAGGCAATCTGACCATATTCCTTAGAGCATTCAATTCTTTAAACGGATTAAATGTGACCAAGGTTATACGAGTTCAGAACATTATCAGGTCAGCCACCTTGGATGCTCAACCAAGCGACACCTTCATAAACAAGACGGTCAGCTTCCATGTGGGAATCACTCCTGTTTCCACTCCAGTGACATATCAGTGGGACTTTGGGGATGGTACTTCTGCAGCTGTCACAACTACACCTTCTCTTAGTCATATCTACATCCTTCCTGGTCACTATGTGGTGCGAGTTAATGTCAGTAACCTGGTGAGCTGGGTTACAGCAGAGGTTAATGTCAACATCTCTGTCCTACAGTGCGACGAACCAGAAGTTCAGATCATTCAAGCTCCACGACTCGCCATCTGGCGTTACCAGCCAACCTCGGTAGAGGCCAATGTGAATTTAAAAGGTTGTGGCCTCTATGGAGTAGAGTACCTCTGGGAGATCCTCACCTCCCCTCGCTGTCAGGATGATGACAAGAAAGGTCCACCACCGTCTCAGGTCCGTCTCCCCCCAGAAGTCAACGTCCGGAGGCTCCAAATTTCAGTGCCGAAGATGTCGATTTCTGCTGGGAACTACACTCTAGTTTTTTCTCTGTCCTATGAGGGGGTGCCTCTACGGAAGGCAGCATGTATTCAACTTTCAGTCATGTCAAAAAAGCTAGTGCCAATCATTGAGGGTGGCACATACCGTGTGTGGTCCAAAACTCAAGATTTGCATTTGAGCGCAGAGCAATCCTACGACCCGAACCTGGACCCAGAGAACCAGTCCCTGCTCAGCTACCACTGGGAATGTGTGAGCACCTCAAAGGTAATCATGATTTTTGTGTAACAGATATATAAAAATGAATGCTTTTTGATGTCTTGAACTTGCAATAAATGGATCTAGGCCACTTATTGTTTAACTGCTTTGGGAGGGACATCTTCCTGTAGGGTTTAGCTCCAGCACATCTGCCTGGAAGTTTCTATTGATCCCTAAAACCTTAGTTAGCTCGTTCATCTGGGTTTAGTTGGGACTGGAGCTAAACTCTGCTGGAAATCGTCCCTCCAGGATCAGGATTGGACATCCCTGATTTAAGCTGTAAAATAGCAATAGATTTAAGAACTAATGTGGTTGAGAGAGGGTTTGAGAGTTTGAGTAATTGGCATTAAAACAATGAACAATCAAGTGCTTTTGTTCACTGAGCTCATAGGCATATTTGAGAGCTAAAAGCTCTGTTCTTCATATCTTCAAAAGATATGTGAATGTGTGAATTTGAGAGTTGTTTGAGTATGTGAGGGACATCTAGTATCAGAGGCTAAACTTTGCACACAGCAGCTCAGAAAGATTAAATATGTGAAGTATGTGCCACAAACGTGGATGTTTGGGTGGTGTGTACTTGAGATCAGTTACATAACGAGCAGCGGATAAACTCAGCATTCCTTAGAGTTCTGCCAGCCTTTCAAAATCACTGCCGGAGGGGAGCCAGAGATTCCTGCTTTTTATTAAAATATTTTGTCACTGACAGAAATTCAAAGGAATATTGTATTAAGTAGAATGAAATATTTCAAGCTCCACTGGCACCAAAAAATAACACTTTAGCCACATAAAAAATGTATGAATATCATTGCATTAGATGATAAAATAAAATAAAAAAACAGGTGGTATTTACTTTAAAGGAAGCGTAAGCACACTTTAAGCAAAATGCGTCTCAAAATAAAAAAATGTAGGTTCTAAATGATAATGCAGTAGATTTATTGTCCAAAATGAAGACAGAAAGTACACTTTGTCGGTGTCAAACGTGAATTCGGGATGCACAGTCATGGTCAGTGATTAAAATGCTATTAGAAAACTCATTAGGTAAAGTCATTAAACAACAAAGGTATCAAAACTTGTTTGATGATTATGCTCTTGTCTTGTATATCCTGAGGCAGGTAAATGAGTTGATTAATTACCATCTGCAGTGATTCTGTCTTTTAACTTCACCCTGCAGGGCCCAGCTCACTGCTCCACTTTGCATTTCGGGTTGGGTCCGAGCGACCCGGTTCTGGGAATCTCTGGTTCTGAACTGGAGGTAGATGTTGAGTATACCTTTCGCCTGACCGTCAGCAAAGAAGGCATGACCCCAGAGTCCACAAACCAAACGGTGAGTGCTCTTATTGATCACTGCCAGCTTTTCATACCTAATATGCTGCATGTATAAATATTTCTTGTTATTGATTCTTGCCATTCGAACAACAGCTGTTTTTCTCCATTGCTCATACAGATGTTTTATATTCCAAAATACATCTCATCACATATTAACTTTTTTTTATTTTTAATCGTTTAAAATAAAATGCTGGATTCTTTTGTGCATGAAACCTGCATTTTATTCAACAACTACCTGCAGTCCAGAAGCATCTTCAAAGTGCACTGAATAGAGCTGTGTCATATTTTAATGAAGTCATTGTCACTCTTTTCAGTGCAAACATGCCTCTTTTCTATGTAAATTAGGCTCATTATAGAATACTAATTATCCACAATCAAAAACTAACGTCACGCTGTTGCCGTCCCATGGAAAGCTGGAGGTAAACAGATTTTAATCAAAAAAGAAATATTTGTTTACAGTTTCTAGCGATCATGACCACAGTGAATAATCAAATGATGAACAAAAGCACATCCTTCACCATCTCATTACTCAAAACCGGCCTGCGAGATGTTAAATTGTGCCTTTTTCTGGGGTGTATTTGTGCTTTTACCTGATATGCATACCTTCAACAGAGAAGTGTGAGCTAAAACAATGCAGCGCATGTAAATGAGCAAAATTATGAGTGGTTGATATTCATTGTTAGCGTTTCTCGCCTTTTTGTTTTGTTCTACAGTATTCAGATTCGTTGCTATTATCATTACAAAATGTTCATTCGTATTTAGCGTACTCTGGATTTGGCTATAATTAACTGACCTGAACGGGTAAGAAATTGTGCCTTTTTCTGGGGTGTATTTGTGCTTTTACCTGATATGCATACCTTCAACAGAGAAGTGTGAGCTAAAACAATGCAGCGCATGTAAATGAGCAAAATTATGAGTGGTTGATATTCATTGTTAGCGTTTCTCGCCTTTTTGTTTTGTTCTACAGTATTCAGATTCGTTGCTATCATCATTACAAAATGTTCATTCGTATTTAGCGTACTCTGGATTTGGCTATAATTAACTGACCTGAACGGGTAAAACGAAGGTTCATTACGTAATTCAAAAGATAATTTACATTCTGACCTTCACAATATTAAGCTATATGTGAAAGCCTGATATATGTGAGTTTTGAATGAGAATGTATATGAAACTCATTTCACTCACTGAACTGAAACTTTGACGGATGCTAAAGGGAATATTTCATGAGATTTAACTTTGAAGGTCTGATTGCTTCGAGGACCATGATGAAACCAATTCGTGATGTCTTATGACCGCTACAATTCTTTTATTTCTTCACAAATTCATTATTCCTGTGTCACATTCACAACAGGAATGGGAAATTCGCCAGTCTCAGTGCTAACATTGTTAATATTTGAATCAGTTCAAAGAATGAGAGATTTTGAAATTAATTAATTAGAGAAATTAATCAGTTTCCATCAATTGCCATGTCAGTTTCCATGTTCAACAGAAAACATAATTGCATAATTTAAAGGGCTAGTTCACCCCACAAATGAAAATTCTGTCATTAATTACTAACCCTCATGTCGTTCCAAACATGTAAGACCTTCTTTCATCTTCAGAACACAAATTAAGACATTTTTGCAACACAACTACCACGTTCAAGGCCCATTTTAACGATGTCCTTACTACCTTTCTAGGCCTTGAACATTTCAGTTACATTGCTGTCTATGCAGGGTCAGAAAGCTCTCGAATTTCATCAAAAATATCTTAATTTGTGTTCCGAAGTGTCTTGCGGGTTTGGAACGGCATGAGGGTGAGTAATTAATGACAGCATTTTCATTTTTTGGGTAAACTAGCCCTTTAAAGTTTGTTGTTCTGTCTCTTCTCCTTGTCACAGGTGTGGGTGCAAAGCGGTCGCATCCCGATGGTGTCGCTGGAGTGTGTGTCGTGCAAAGCTCAGTCTCGCTACGAGATCAGTCAGAGCTCTTATGTGTACCTGGCTGGCACCTGCAATAACTGTCACAGCTCACACAGAGGGGTGAGAACAATCACAATCACAGGGTTACTATTAAACCACTGTTGCCTACAGGGAAGTACGAAATGCAAACATAATTACTTTTCGAGCAGGTTTTCACAATACTCCCTGCTGTTTCGGGTGGGTTGGGATGCTCAAGTAGATCTCTTAAAGTCCCCATGAAATCAAAATTAAAGTTTTTTGGGTGTTAGTATCAATATGTTAGTCTTAAGGTTATCTATAAGGCAGTGTGCTCCAAAACAGTGACAAAATTCGCATTTAGAAGATATAAGCTTGCAGTTCCTCACTTCCGCCAAAACGTATCGGAGCTATTTGAATTCTACAAAGAATGCTATATTTTATAGCAATATGGATGAGATTGTGGCTGGCATGCCCTGTCAAATGTGGCTTTACGGAGCTCAACGGCTCTGAACGGCTCTAGCCCAAGCTGTGATATAAACAAACGCTATTGGCTATTTTAAAAAGGGGCGGGGCTGCTTGATATGTCCCGCCCTGTCTTCCTGTTTCAGTTAAAATGACGTCAACACATAGAGTAACGCCGTACACACTGGGACGATTATCGCACGCGCTTATCGCCGACGTTTTTCGACGCGTCGTTTGTGTTCATACCCAAGCGATTTTCACAGGCGATGAGCCGAGTAAACATGCAAATTCACTCCCTGACATTAGATGGCGCTTAATGAAAAACAGAAATACCCCGGTACACACCACAATCCTATTTGATCTGCAATTCCTCTCCATAACAACTCCCTCTTATCGATCTCGCGTGGCCTCATGGGATAGTAAAGTGTCCATCCTATGCATGCTACGGAATTCGGGCGGAAGTAGTAGGTCATCCGGGTACTTCTCGCCTACTGTTTTTCGAATACTATGAATTCGGACATACTACTCGCCTCGCATACTGTTTTTCGCCTGCTATATAGTATGGAAGTATGCGATTTCGGACGCAGCGATAGAGTAACGCTGCGTGTTTCTAAGCATTTCAGGGGATCTTTAAGGACATCATGGAATCAAAATGGGACTTTCCATGTCTATTAGTTTTTTGGCCGGTGAAAGGCACAGCATTTTAATTTCTTTATCTTTTAGCTTTACAAAAAGCATGGAAAGCATGATATAATTTGTCCCTAGGATTAATACTGTCCTCATAGAATCTGAATGTTGGGAATGACATATTTGGATTTTTGGATTATATTTGGAGTCACTCGTGCCTTATTTATTAGAGGAAACATATCGTCATAATTTATCGAAGAGCGCTGTGCATGGAGAGATAGCGGCATGATGTCATTCTAGAACGCTTTCTCTTTTTTCGCAGGCATTCCTCTTGCTTTTTTCCGACCTGCTTTCTCATAATGTTTAGACTGAGATTCGATTGTCAGTCAGTGATGTTATGGTTATGGGAACCGGAGGGAGGGGAGACCTGAGTGGGCTTACCGGGTGATGTCATCATTATGATGTGATGTGTTCCCCTGCATTAGCCGTTAACGGCATGCCAAACCTCGTTAAACACGCACAGACATTTGCTTGGTGACCGAGCGGTCAAACACTCCTTCCCCTCGGTCTGGTTCCCATGAGCCATGAGACTGTAAATATTAGGGTACAATTCAGGGACGCTAATCTAAGTGCTGCAAACACTCGGGTCTGAGATGAGTGCTGATTCGGATTAATGGTGATGGAGGTCACTGCAAGGTTACTGAAAAACCAGCCTGGAGCTCATTAAAAAATAACATCATTTGAAATAATACTATAAAAAATAAAACGTAATCTTAATATTAAAATGAGAAAAATACAAAAAATACATACCACGTTTAAATAATTATGTAATGTATAAAATGCAATTATACATCTATTACTGATTTAAATACAATCATTTATTAAATTATATAAGATTAATTAGATGTGTTAATTAATTTAATAATCTGCTCTATTAAATAAATGCATGAAAGTAAATACATAAAAGTGGCATGGAAATACAAAACCATTCCTAAAGCTGTGAAATTTTTTGTAACTACATAAAGATTTATATGCATTTAAAATAAGTTTTTAATTGTTTAATTTTAAGTGTTTTGACTTCATTAATCATATAAATATGAATATAAAATGTATTTATACTTATATAACAATGTAGTTGTATTCTAATAATTTTTATTATTAATAAAGAGAATTATTCAGTTAATATAATACATTTAATTGTAACTATTACATTTATTTAATAATTAACTTTATTCTAAAGAAATTTCTAATTTTAAAGTGATGTATTTATTTAATTAAGTTTAAACAATAATATGGAAATGACTTGGAAATTTGTCTGTTGTTGTTGTTAGCGGTGGACGGCGGTGACCGGAGGGAACGAGATGCTGGTGCTGAATCTGAACACCACCACCACGGGCAGCGACAGCATGAACCTGGTCCTGCGACAGGGTATACTCCGCGACGGAAACTCCTACATATTCAGCCTCCACGTGACCGATGACAGCATGGACCGCGAGGGCGTGGCCTACATCGAGCTCCACCCCAACCTGCCTCCAGCCGGCGGGACGTGTTCTCTGTGGGCGGATGGCGACGGGCCTCATGTGCGCACGCTGCTGGAGAGAGTGCACTTCAACTGCTCAGGTGAGACTGGAGAAGAAGGACTGCATGTAGGATGCCGAGAAAGAGCAGGTGCTGAACTACACTGTGAAAAAAATTCCGTACAATTTACGGTAAAAAACTGGCAGCTGTGGTTGCCAGAATTTGACCGTAAAAAAATACTGTAGCAACATTTTAGGGTTTACGGATTTAACTTAATTAGTTAATTTCATTAATTAACAACCTATTGAAGTTCTGAAATCTGTTTTGTACCTTTGTAATACACTGTTAACCATCAAAATCAGGTGGTGATGAGAAAGTCACATGATGAAGTTCACCACAAGCACTAAGTTCAGTTAAAATGACAAGTCAACCTACTGCAGTATTTCCTCTCTCAATCAGTAGAAAATGCGGTTAACACCTGATAATGCATGAAAAGAAATACTATCATATACCATGAAACTGGTATATTTTTTAAAAATACAGTGATATACATTTTTGGTCATGCCGCCCAGCACTATGCTGAACAGTCGCGTCTGGTTTTCAGGTTACACTGATATGGACGAGGCCGAGTCTCCGCTGGTGTATAGTCTGCTGGCGGTGCGCTGCTCTGGGCTGTACTGCGAGGAGTTCTGTGTGTATAAAGGCACGAGTCCAGAACATTCGGCCTTTCTGCCACCTGGCATCAGCTCGGCCCAGTACCAGGTGACTGCGATTGTCATGGTGGAGGACCACCAGGGGGCCACAGTCATGGCCCGCAACAAGTAAGACACGGTTTGGCATGAAGACTTCCCGTGTTCTGTTCTTTGCTGGCAGCGCTGTGAATGGTTTGTGATGTGTGTCAGGTCGATGGAGGTGGTGCTGCCGGCGGTTCCTGATGGATTCAGCTGTCTCCCTCACTGGCTCAGCAATCTGACCGACTCCACCCTGAGAGAGCTGCTCCGTCAGGGAGACTCACAGAGAGTACGGGAGCTCTCGCTCGCCCTCATCACCGTCCTCAATGAGGTGAGACCCGCCATCCACCTCTATCTATCTATCTATCTATCCATCCATCCATCTCTGTCCTTCTTTCTCTATCTATCCAACTATCTATTCATCTATCTGTCCATCCATCTCTATCCTACCATCTATCCATATTAATCTATCCATTATCCATCCATCCATCCATCCATCTTTCTCTATCTATCCATCTATCCATCCATCCAACCATCCTTCTTTCTCCATCTATCCATCCATCCATCCATCCATATCTATCCATATTAATCTATCCATTATCCATCCATCCATCCATCCATCTTTCTCTATCTATCCATCTATCCATCCATCCAACCATCCTTCTTTCTCCATCTATCCATCCATCCATCCATCCTTCTTTCTCTATCTATCCATCCATCCATCCTTCTTTCTCTATCCATCCATCCATCCTTCTTTCTCTATCTATCCAACCATCCATCCATCCATCCTTCTTTCTCTATCCATCCATCCATCCATCCTTCTTTCTCTATCTATCTATCTATCCATCCATCCATCTCTGTCCTTCTTTCTCTATCTATCCAACTATCCATCCATCCATCCATCTCTGTCCTTCTCTCTCTATCTATCTATCTATCTATCTATCTATCTATCTATCTATCTATCTATCTATCTATCTATCTATCTATCTATCTATCTATCTATCATTTATCCGTCCGTCGTGTCTTTCTCCGTCTGCTCATCACGTGGTGTGTTTCTGTGTGTCAGTATGAGCAGGGTGTTTCCCGCAGACGTGAGCGTGTGTCTAAGGCAGAGCGTCAGTATCGTGTGAGCGTCAGAGGAAACATCACCAGAGCGCTGACGTCACTGGACCTCACCACCGTCAGTGACATCCAGCAGACATCAGCGGCGCTCGCGCAGTGCACGGTGAGATGAGACGCACTCACATGCCTCACATCAGCTGAATCCTGAAGCACTTCAAAAGACATAAAATTGAATAAAATCTGTCTCGTATGTGTTTGTTTGCAGGCTGTGAGTCGAGAGTTTGTGTGTGAAGAGTGTCAGAACAGCACTCTGGACAAACTAGAGTCGATGTTAGAGATCCTGCAGACAGACACCAAACAGGGCACAGTCACCCCGACCGAGATAGCAGACAACATCCTTAATATCATGGGTAACACACACACACACACACTCGCACACTCACACACACGCAGACTCCAGTGAGAGGTAAACACAATCATCCATTTCATGGCTAATTGGATATGCTATGCTAACACAGTCACAAACAAACAACCCCAGAGGCAACAAGCTGTTACTGTTCACTTGTTTACATGTTTTCATTTTTCTCTTTTCTGACTGAAGGTCCTTGTACACTGAGTCTGAAATTTTCGTATGCATTTTTTCGTATCCGTCATCCTTCAAAATGCTTGCTACGGATGCGAAAACGCAAAAAATCGAACCTGATCCAAATTTTTTTATGACGGGCAAAAGTTTCGGAGGCAGTGTGTAAATGTGATTGACACAACGTGAGGTCGTATTTATTTTTTAACGTGCGAAAATTTCAGACGGAAATTTCGGACTCAGTGTGCAATGACCTTAAATCTGAACCTAATTTACATATAAAATTGCTGTCAAATAATTTAGTTTAATTAATTCTAAGAAAATACAATAAAATATTTCTCAGTAAAATGCCCCTAACCTGTATGAATTATTAATAATTTAATTTAATAAAAAAAATTTTAATTACCTTTCTGTTTAAAAGATCTGCATATTTCTATTTTTCTAAAGAATATTTTACATTTTAATTCATAAAATAAAATATATATCATTATTATTTATATAGCATCATCTGCTCAATTATTTACTCATCTGCCATAAAATTTATTTGATTCATCTTCTTTTTGGGGCTTTTATTTAAATAACCCCTCTGTTTAAAATACTTGTATATTTCTATTTTAATATTAAATATTACTCAATTTAATTTTTGTATTATTCATTTTAATTAATAAAAATTATATTATACTATATTACATTTTAAGTCATATAATTATATATATACAGTGGGGAAAAAAAGTATTTAGTCAGCCACCAATTGTGCAAGTTCTCCCACTTAAAAAGATGAGAGAGGCCTGTAATTTTCATCATAGGTAAACCTCAACTATGAGAGACAAAATGAGAAAAAAAAAAACAGAAAATCACATTGTAGGATTTTTAAAGAATTTATTTGCAAATTATGGTGGAAAATAAGTATTTGGTCAATAACAAAATTTCATCTCAATACTTTGTTATATACCCTTTGTTGGCAATGACAGAGGTCAAACGTTTTCTGTAAGTCTTCACAAGGTTTTCACACACTGTTGCTGGTAATTTGGAATTTATCCGTCCGTCGTGTCTTTCTCCGTCTGCTCATCACGTGGTGTGTTTCTGTGTGTCAGTATGAGCAGGGTGTTTCCCGCAGACGTGAGCGTGTGTCTAAGGCAGAGCGTCAGTATCGTGTGAGCGTCAGAGGAAACATCACCAGAGCGCTGACGTCACTGGACCTCACCACCGTCAGTGACATCCAGCAGACATCAGCGGCGCTCGCGCAGTGCACGGTGAGATGAGACGCACTCACATGCCTCACATCAGCTGAATCCTGAAGCACTTCAAAAGACATAAAAGGTGCACGGTGAGACGAGACGCACTCACATGCCTCACATCAGCTGAATCCTGAAGCACTTCAAAAGACATAAAAGTGAATAAAATCTGTCTCGTATGTGTTTGTTTGCAGGCTGTGAGTCGAGAGTTTGTGTGTGAAGAGTGTCAGAACAGCACTCTGGACAAACTAGAGTCGATGTTAGAGATCCTGCAGACAGACACCAAACAGGGCACAGTCACCCCGACCGAGATAGCAGACAACATCCTTAATATCATGGGTAACACACACACACACACACTCGCACACTCACACACACGCAGACTCCAGTGAGAGGTAAACACAATCATCCATTTCATGGCTAATTGGATATGCTATGCTAACACAGTCACAAACAAACAACCCCAGAGGCAACAAGCTGTTACTGTTCACTTGTTTACATGTTTTCATTTTTCTCTTTTCTGACTGAAGGTCCTTGTACACTGAGTCTGAAATTTTCGTATGCATTTTTTCGTATCCGTCATCCTTCAAAATGCTTGCTACGGATGCGAAAACGCAAAAAATCGAACCTGATCCAAATTTTTTTATGACGGGCAAAAGTTTCGGAGGCAGTGTGTAAATGTGATTGACACAACGTGAGGTCGTATTTATTTTTTAACGTGCGAAAATTTCAGACGGAAATTTCGGACTCAGTGTGCAATGACCTTAAATCTGAACCTAATTTACATATAAAATTGCTGTCAAATAATTTAGTTTAATTAATTCTAAGAAAATACAATAAAATATTTCTCAGTAAAATGCCCCTAACCTGTATGAATTATTAATAATTTAATTTAATAAAAAAAATTTTAATTACCTTTCTGTTTAAAAGATCTGCATATTTCTATTTTTCTAAAGAATATTTTACATTTTAATTCATAAAATAAAATATATATCATTATTATTTATATAGCATCATCTGCTCAATTATTTACTCATCTGCCATAAAATTTATTTGATTCATCTTCTTTTTGGGGCTTTTATTTAAATAACCCCTCTGTTTAAAATACTTGTATATTTCTATTTTAATATTAAATATTACTCAATTTAATTTTTGTATTATTCATTTTAATTAATAAAAATTATATTATACTATATTACATTTTAAGTCATATAATTATATATATACAGTGGGGAAAAAAAGTATTTAGTCAGCCACCAATTGTGCAAGTTCTCCCACTTAAAAAGATGAGAGAGGCCTGTAATTTTCATCATAGGTAAACCTCAACTATGAGAGACAAAATGAGAAAAAAAAAAACAGAAAATCACATTGTAGGATTTTTAAAGAATTTATTTGCAAATTATGGTGGAAAATAAGTATTTGGTCAATAACAAAATTTCATTTGATTTATCTTCATTTTAAGGTTTTTCTCAGTAGTGTGATTAATTGAAATGAATTAGATTGATTTATTGACAGGTATTTTTTTCTTCGAATGTCTTTGATTTGTCTCCATTGTGGGGCTTTTATTTTTTAAATTACCTTTTTAAAAGAATTGTTAATCTTGTCTCAGTCTTGTAGCACTTACTGTATATCACTCCTCTTTTCTGGTCTTTCGTGGAGCCTTTTATCCTGTTCCTGCTGGTTTTCAGTATTCATCCAGTCAGTAAATCAGACCTCCACACTGTCTCCTCCCTCAGGTGACCTGATCCACCAGGTGAGCCAGGCTGCCTCCTCTCCTCCTCCGGAGGCCGAGGACCGCGACGGCCTCTCCCAGCCGCCTCCGCTTCTCTTAGAGGAGCAGCAGCATCACCCGCTGCGAGTGGCTGCTAAAGCCTACACCCTGTCCTCCGTCCTCATGCGAATCCTCATGCTGGGCCGCGTCTTGAACGAGGAGCCGCTGATCCTCCGCGGGGCAGAGATCGCCGCCGCCGGCAAACGCGCCGACCCTCAGAGCCTGCTCTGCTACGGCGAGAGCGACGCGGCCGAGTGCCGGCGTTTCTCCATCCCGCGAGCCTTCAACAGCAGTCTGGGACGGGCAGCAGGAGGCGCTCTGGCGCCCAGCAGCGAGGACGGCATCGTGCAGCTGCTGTTCCAAGTGGAGCCCAATCCATTTCCATTCAACTATGTCGCCAATTACACCGTGTCGACAGAGGTGGCGTCCATGGAGTTTCGCACAGTGAACGGCACGCAGATTCCCATCTCGGATCTAGACGACAGCCATGCCATAACGGTTGCTGTTAATAACGGGAGCGTGGCTGGGCTGGACGGGAACGGATTGGAGGCCGTCTTGCCACCAGCGGGAGCCGAGAACATCAGCCGCTGCGGTTCAATCATCGTGAGGGTGAGCACGAGGAACACCAACAGACAGACGGGAATCTACGTCCAGCTCAACTTCACCGTACTAGACGGTAAGACGCCCAACACAAGGGGGAGCCACTGAGAATAAGAAACTCGTTCACCAACAATCACAAACTGTGGCAAAAACGTTAAAATCTAATGACCAATTTACACTGTTTGAGAAAAAGGCATAGGTGTCATATAAAGGTAATGCTTTGTTTCTGCAATTAAATAATTGCCTTTAATATGGTCATTGTACTTAAGAAAAATTTTAAAATATTGTCTGAAAACATCACTTTGTAAATAATAAATATGTAAATAAAAAAATAAAAAATATATATAAATAATAAAAATAAAAAAGCAAAAAATATACAGTAATTTTTTTTTTATTATAAGATTATTTATCTGTGATTAGCACTTCCATGATAAACATTTTTTTCCACCAAGTTATAGATTTACAGTGGTGGCCAAAATTGTTAGAACACCTGACAGATCTGAAAATATTGACCTTTTTTTGCCTCCAGAACATGCATTCATTTCATAATGTTCATGATTGAACACTGCTCTGAGCACAACAAATATCAGATGAAGTGAGTCGTACTGTTTTTATCCACTTTTAACTTTAATATTTGGTGTGTCCACCTTTTGCAGCAATTACAGCAGCACATCTCTCTGGCACAGTGTCAATATATTTCCTGAGAACTTCAACACTAATGTTATCCCATGCCTTCTGCAGCTCAAGCCAAAGGCTTTCCTTTGAATGTACAATAGATCTGTACAGTTTATTTTCCAACTCGCCCCAAATTTGCTTGATGGGGTTGTGGTCCTGACTTTGAGAGGGCCAGTCCATAATTTTCAGTGTTCCAGCAGATTCCTTTCGTCGCAGGTAGTTCCGGCGAAACATCTTAAATATGCCAAGTGTTCTAACAATTTTGGCCACCACTGTATATTTTCTTCCTGTTAAAAACTTGTGCTATAAAAAATAATAACAACTAATCTCATGTTATCTGATCAGTATTTAGAAAGCTGAATGAGAAAATATCATCAATTTGTGAAATGTCCAATAATAAATAAATTAATAAACAAACATATTTCGTGATATTTGATTAATAAAGGGCATTAACTTGGCATAGTGTTATTTTATTATATATATATATATATTATTATAGTGGTTTTTAATATTTTAAATGAGCTTTTATTTTATTTTTAAATTATACTTTTAGTAATTTGCTATATGCTTTTGTCATTTTTTGTTAGTGTTTTGTTTTTAAAAATAGTTCTGTTTAGCTTGCATTTATTTTTATTTCAGTTTAGTAACTTTAGTGTTTCACTTTTAGTAATTTTTGTTTAAGTTTTCATCTGATATTTATCTATTTTAATTCTAGCTTTATTACAGGAACCCCTCCAGGTTCATTTTAGTTTAGCCAAACAAACCAACTAGTCAACTAATTGGAACAATTACTAGTTATTACAGCACATGGTCAGTGTAATGTATGTATAGTAATGTATTGTAAAGGTCAGCTTTATTTCTTCCCGTCGGAGTGGAAATAGCATTTTTTTAAATGTATCTCTTAACACCTATTTCTTTTCATCCCTGTGTCCTCAGATTCTCCAGAGAAGTGGGAATTGGATCCATTCATCACAGCCTATCTCCACACCTCCGAATGGCCCAATGAATACAACAGCACTGACAGGAAACGCATCACGCTCAATATGACACGGGGGCGGGACCTGGACCACCGACTCTACACTTTCTTCCTGTCTCCAAAGTAAGGCTCTTGCTAATGTTTTGATGTTTCTCACTGCTGTATATGGCTGAATAATTTTGGAAGTGCATGTTGATGTTAGGCCATTCATCTTTAATAAATGATGCATTTAGAAGCAAACACTTTTGCTTGTTAAAATCAACATCAGCCGCCACAGGAGAACCTGCTGAGTGACTTGTTCATCAGTATCAGCAGTGAAGATGAGTGTTTCACAAAACACAAAGAGAGTGGCTCATCCTGTCCGATATAAAACTCTAAATTATTCATTTTGTAAATTATGGTTTTGATTTTCAGCCAATAAAATAAAAGCATTTAGAAGCAAACACTTTTGCTTGTTAAAATCAACATCAGCCGCCACAGGAGAACCTGCTGAGTGACTTGTTCATCAGTATCAGCAGTGAAGATGAGTGTTTCACAAAACACAAAGAGAGTGGCTCATCCTGTCCGATATAAAACTCTAAATTATTAATTTTGTAAATTATGGTTTTGATTTTCAGCCAATAAAATAAAAGCATTTGCGATTCTGCACCACTAATACACACAAATGAGCTTTTTCTTCTAATTTCTGATTTGTGTTCTCCATCAGGTCCTATGACACTACGCGTGATCACTTCATAAACGTGACCGTGGGCTGCGGCGCCAGCGATCCGGATCTGATCCGGTTCGAGGTGGCCGTCTTCACCTCGCTGTGTCAGTATTTCAGCGAAAGCGCCAATCAGTGGCGGACGGACGGCATGGATCCACTTCCCGAGACCAGCGTGGGCCGAGCTGTGTGTCGCACGCATCATCTGACCGCTTTCGCCGCCAGCCTGTTTGTTCCCGCCGATGCCGTCTCCTTCATCATTCCTGTGAGCATTACAACTCAACTCAGAGGACATTTGCTTTTTCAGAATACTATTAATAATATTTTTTCAAATTAAAGGGTTAGTTCACCCAAAAATGAAAATTAGCCTGTGTTTTACTCGCCCTCAAAGCATCCTAGGTGTATGTGACTTTCTTCTTTCCGACAAATCCAATCTGAGTTATATTAAAACTTGTCCTTGCCCCTCCAAGCCTTTCAATGGGGGTAAGCGGGTGCTTTTTGTAAACAGTCCAGAAGACGTGAAATAAAGACATAGGCCAGAATGGCTTCCGCGTATGACAGTCAGCAGAAGTGAGAAAAAAGTGTTTATTATGTTTGAAATATGGATATTTTTCTTACAAAAATGCATGGATTCGCTACAGGAGGCCTTTACTCACCCCCCGGAGTGTCACAGTTGCCTACTGTGAGGAGCGAGGAACGAGGGATTTCACACTGACCAGTCTTTAATAATCCACAAGAGGAAACACAGGGTAGCCAGGAGACACACGTAGTACAATGACGTTAAGAACCAACAAGCACAGACTAGGGCTAAACACATAGGATAATTGGGAAGACACAGGTGTACGGGATGATTAATTAAACTAAACGAGGACAGGAACGAGACCAAATAAGGGAACACTAGAACAGAAACAGGGGCAAAACAGAACATAGACAGTCCAGAATCCTGACATATCGCCCCCCCCCCGAAAGCTGCGTCCTCTCACGGTAGAACAACAGAGGGGGGAATGGGTGGGAACTAAGGAGGAGGCTTAGGAGGAGGACAGATGCCCGGGAGGGGGCCGACAGACAGAGACCAGGGAGGCGACAAAGGAGGGAGGAGACAGGAGGGGCCCAGGCCACAGCCATGGAGGGAGGAGCCATGGAGGAGGAATGGCCGCCAACTCCAGGGGGCCGACCAACGGCGGCGGAGCAGGTGGCGGAGGAGCCCGAGTCGGAGACGGAGAGCCAACGAGCCAGGGGGATGCTGAGGATCCGGGGGGCCAGGGTGGAGCCGAGGGCTCTGGCGACTGAGGCGGAGATCTGCAGCGGAGCTGGAGAGACATGAGGACCAAGGTGGAGCTGGCGGGAGGAAGGAGCCCAATTGAGCCGGTGGGACGGAGCAACGAGGTGCAGCCAGAGGAGCGGAGTCCTGAGGCGATGGCGGGTCGACACCCGACCAAGGCAGAGCCAGAGGGACAAGGGAGCCCGGTAGAGCTGGTGGATCGATGGGTGATGGTGGAGGCGAAGGAGCTAGGAGCCGAGGTGGAGCTGCTGGGTCTACGGGCTGAGGCGGAGTCTGGGCCTCGGAGGCGGAGGTGAAGGATTCTCCAGCCATGGCGACGCTGGAGGATGGCAGACCCGCGGCGCTCGCACCGTAATGATGGTGGGCTAAGGGCAAGCACAGGGGCTGCCAGACGACAGCGGTGGAGGAGGCAGGAGCGGGTGTGAGGACAGGCATTTGTGAGCCTCCGGGCATTCAGGGCTAAACTCTGGATCGGGATCCCCCTCTAGGCTGAACACAGGAACAGGATGGCGCTCTGGAGGAGCGGACATTTGAGGGCGCTTTGGAGGAGCGGGCACTGGAGGGCACTCTGGACTGGATTCGGGGATTGGAGCCCTCTCCTCTTCGGTGTGGCACATTCGCCGCGCCATACTCAGCTCACCCTCAGCCGTGGTGCAGGGGGCGGAGCTCCCTCGTGAAGGGCATTTTTGCCCGTCTCTCGCACCTGGTCTGATGGGTTCAGCTCTACGTCTGGGGTGATCCTCTGCTCAGTCGCTCAGCTTTTGCTCCAGCAGGAGGAGGAGACATTCCGAGCGAAGGAGGGCATCCATGAGGGAACAACGGAAAACAAAACACTGAGCGAAAATGGGAAACATAAAAACGGAGGGTATACACATGGAGGTTACTGTTTGTAGGTCGATTCTTCTGTCATGGTTGCCTACTGTGAGGAGCGAGGAACGAGGAATTTCACACTGAACAGTCTTTAATAATCCACAGGAGGAAACACAGGGTAGCCAGGAGACACACGTAGTACAATGACGTTAAGAACCGACAAACACAGACTGGGGCTAAATACACAGGATAATTGGGAAGACACAGGTGTATGGGATGACTAATTAAACTAAACGAGGACAGGAACAAGACCAAATAAGGGAACACTAGAACAGAAACGGGG